AATACACCCGGATGGATGGATGGATGGATGGATGGATGGATGGATGGATGGATGGAGGGAGTTGGTACCTGACTGAATGGAGATGGGTGTTTTGGTATCGATGTGGTTCTTGGATTTTCGAGTCAGAGGATCAGTGATGGGGATGATAAGAGGAGCTAATATGGCCCCTGCTGCCATGGCAACAACAGGCTGACAATAAAAAGAAAGATAAATCTGTAAATAAACTTGACTGAAGTCATTAAGCAGTAGTATATTCATAAAGTTTAGTTTCCCAAACCACCATTTATTTTACAATTTATTCATTCTTGTTACCGTTCAATAAGTTATGCTCCTTTCGCAGTTCATATCCTGATCTGATCCAGGTTTTTCCTCCGGGTTGTTTTTGATGCTTCCCTTTTTCCTTTTCCTCTTCTTTCCAGCGATTAATTTAGGGAACAGAAAGCTGTAATCCGGGCATAATCCACCTGCTAATAAAGTTGTTCTCTCTCGCTTGCTGAAGCACAGCTGCTGCGTTTGAAATAGGTCACCATGGCAACAGGGAAACTTTCCCATTTTGACAACAGGAAGTGATCACAATGTATATCCCTGTGCCTTTACTGCTGTCATGATGCTGTTTTAAAACGATACAAATCACGATAAATGCTTTAATAAAAATAAAAATATAGGATTTCAAAGCTGAACTAACGGGTTTAAAAAGAGGTAGACCAGTTGCGGACCTCGAGTCATTTTGATCAGGCATCATACAGAACACCTAACGATCACAGACACGGCGCTAAGGACCCCGTCAGTCTTATTTAGTTCATCACATCACGTTTAACCTGGATGGTTAACAGACAGAAACACAGAATAGGGTCAAAATGGCAGAGGTAAAGGTGAAGAAGGAGACGAACCTTTCAGAACCTGCGGAGATAGAGAACAGGTGAGGAAAAGCGCTCAGCAACCGAACTCTTGTTGAATTATGTGCGTTTTTAGTTAAGTTCGGTCACAATTTCTGATGCTTCGTCCAATGGTCTGTTTTAAACACCGATTTAGACCTGGACCGGTAGGGCCAAGAGTTCGGCTTTAATTTGTTCTATAAATGCTCATCAATTCTGGTAATACCGACCCGTTATAATCCACATGGTTATGAAAATATAATGTATCTTTAGGTAATCATTTCGAGGTTCCGGTTCAACAGGGAATCCCTATCAGGTATAATTAAGAGGTTAGAGGAGGTTCGGTTCGGTAACAGCTAACAGAACTTTTTCTAAAAGGAACAGAGACAAAAGTTCCAAAATAAAGACAGTTTTTATCCTCAGAAACCAGAAGTTATGTGAGTTTTTTTTTTTTTTTCCTGTTTAAGATTGGCTCTTTGTCTGCACCTTGAAACTTTCTCTCTCTGGTTCTTTTCCTGAAAAGGGATCACTCAGGACAAACTCTTTAAATAAGACATCATAACTTATATGTATTAAATAAGCAGGAGGTATGACAACAGATTCTGATAGAAATTGTAATCTTAGAACAGAGAAGTTGCTTAGGGTTACAGAAGGCAGCTGTTCACATCTGGGCTCACCTCACAGGAATTGGCCCTGATTAATAGTTAAAAATACATTTTATACATCTCCAGTCTGCCACATAACCTTACTTTACATCATAGACTTTAGCAGATGATTAGACAGCCATGGCTCCAGCCTTATTTAAATATTACGCTTCGTTCTTAGCTGAAGGACATCGCTCTCATTCCATTTCCATTCCTTTGCAACGTACAGAATGATTATAACTGTATATCCAGACAGAGGAACTGTCTAGGTGTAATAAACTCACACATCTTCAATGATATTTATTCTAACATTCCTTTTAATTTCTCAGTCAGGATGTTTCTGTGTGCTCCGGGGCCCCAGAGCAGGTTGAAGTCCGGGTTCAATATTGGTTTCGGTTGGTTAAATGCTCGGGTACCTTCCTTCAAGCTGTTGCTGTGTTTGTATGTGTTTCAGAATCAAAGAGCTGTGTCAGCAGTTTCCCCAGGGAATCACGGACCAGGTGATCCAGAATGACATGCCTCACCTGGAGCCTCAGCAGAGAGCCTTGGCCATCAACAAGCTGCTGTCTCTGGTCCGTCTCCTCGCCCCAAACACCATCCTTCTGCTTTATGCAATGTCAGAATTGGGTCAAATGAATGAACAGTTACTAAACTTTGGTTTCATTTATCAAGGAACAGATCTAAATGATTATGGTCCAATTAGAAAAGCATCAATGATGAATTGATACCACAGCAGGCAGGCATCACCCAGACCTGATTAGTGCTAGACCGATCATTGAAACAGAGCAGTATTCCCATTAGCAACTTCACCTCTTAATAGAAAAGCTTTACGGATCCCCCATTAACAGAGTAGAGACGTTCTGGCTACTTCTCACTATTATTACAGTGGATACTGCTATCCCCCCAACTCTGAGTCAGTTGATTGACTTCATCAATCTCACAGAAAATTTACTCGTTACATCAGCTCAAATAGTCAAAGGAGAAGAATTTGCCAAAGGAAGAAAAAGGTGTGTGGGATATATATATAGTATATATAGTGTATAGGGATGGAACGGTTTATGAAAACCGTCCGAACCATTCGGTTCGACTGTCTCGGTTCGATTCGCATGTGTTGTGTTCGGTTCATGCGCTGCTCCTTTTTCTCTCCAGAGCAGAAGGTGGCGGTACTGCGACCAAAGCCAACCACCAGTGGTAAACAAGAAGAAGAAGAAGCGAAGCAG